GATGGGAGCTGACCTAATGAACGAAGCAGCTGTATATTCATAGTAACCAATCAATGTTTTTAAAGCACCAGAAGAGTCCTTTCGCTTAGCTAGGTCATAAACCTTACGACATCTTTCATACCGACTGCGCTGCTTTACGGGATCTGATCGAAAAACGGCAATTGATTGCCACAAGCATTGATGTGGATATTTAACCAATAATTCTGCCAAAATTATCTAAATAAAAATAAGAAAGATGGAACAAAAGTGGACAGAAAGCAAAATTTTAACCAGAGATGAAGTAACTTAGTAATGAATTTCCACCTTTAATGTGTCAAAAACTTCTTCGTTTGGGTGTGTGATTCTGGAAATGAGCTGGGCAAATGAAGTGTAGAACGTGTAATGGCCTAAGCGGTTGAAAGCATCTCTGATCTTATTATTCAACTGCAATATTGAAAATTATGCTTTCCGCTGTAAGGAAAGACACATGCCAACAATTGATAGTAAAGAAGAGGACGGTAGCACCAATGTTAGAACCGATAAATAATTATGACGTACTTCACTGATAGCTTTATCTTCATTTGACGTATCAATATTCACTCCACCACGCTTTTCTTTTTTAGTAGGCATAATTTCCAAAGTCTGAAGGAAAGCTCTATTACGGCCATAATAGCTGTGAAGACACAAACTCCACATTAAAAAATCATTATAGCAAATTACTCTCAATAACCAAACTTTTTTTTCTGTATTGTCCAACCATATCGTTAGCATCCTAGGCAAAACATGGAATAAATGCGTTTTTCCTTGCGAAAGGACGCTGATATATGCATCGAGTATTTGTGTTACCTTATCTGACAAGAAGTCCTGAAGAACAAACTGGTAAGTCTGATAAAAAATCAAATGTAAGTTTTTAACTATATTGATGATGAAGTGTTTGAATTTCATAACGCACTAAGCATGGTTGTAGTAACACTACTTTCAATGTTACAGCAGGTGCGCGAGGGGTATGAAGAATGAAGAATAAGAACAATATTAAACTTACTTCGTTTTTTGAGTAAAGGTAGTTATCAAGAAAAGTAGCAACACGGTAATATAAGTCCTCTGAAGGATCCGCTATCCATGGAAGAGAAACATATTTGCTGTACAGGTCAGATAAATTGCAAGAGCCTGCTTTTAAGCAAAAATCTGCCAAGAGTAACTGAACCTAAAAATTACCCATTTTAGGAAATCGACATTAGTTATCAACTACTAGAGGTACTTAAGAACGAACAAGAAAAGAACCTTGACAAAATTTGCTTTTTCTTCCCTTGGTTCACTCCTTAAAGCTTCTTTCATCTGTGCTGTTAAAGATAACTTTTTACTACCGATTAATGACTGCATTTGAGTCATTTTGTCTGAAAAACGCTCTTTCAATAGATTTGAAAGAATATCAATTGCTTCTGACTGATCGCCCTAAAATTGAAGCAACGATTGTAGAAGATGCTGTTACTAATTCTGCGAAATATAATTAAAAAGTCAAAAAACTTTCATAAGGAAACCTTTTCAAAAAGAAATCGAGCTTCTTCCATAGCAACATCAAAGTGGTTTACGTTCAGAGCTTTTGCCTCCACTAAGAATGTCCAAGCAACCTGTAGTTGTCCCGCAAGTCTTGACATCCGACAACTTTGAAGCAAATAATCACAAATAGGTAACTTCATTGTATCATTTTCGCGCAACCTCAGAATTCCACGCCGAACAGTGTAAACCGGTTCCAGAACTGGTGTACACTGCATTGCTAAGGCACTTCGGTCCTGAAAACATAAAAAAGATTAAGGGTCAAACAAAAAGCGACCTTACACCTTACTGTTAGCCGATTGAAAATCATTACCTGCCATCTTTTTAATACCAGTGTCAGGTGATCCGGACTTATAGATTGCTCATGAAATAAACCCAAATTTTCTTTCGCGTCCTCTAATTCAGACAGTATATGAAGCCTTCAAAAACTTCAAATCTATACAACTTAAATACGGAACTTAAACCCAATGGAAATATCAAATACTTCGTTCACTACCTTATTATGTACTTATAGGACTGCATGTAGGTGTCCGAGCCTTCAAGAGTCATGGCTGTGAGCGCATCGACAAGACGAGACCTAGCAAGTGTGATCTGTCTTTCAAAGGAATCAGCGTCACAGTGTTTCAAACTGCAAAGAATAGAAGCGCTGGTTGCACCCCAATTTGACATTTGAGGGTACCGCTCAACGAGCTTATCTAAATCACCCCATCTTTTCAAGCGCCAAGTTGCTTCAATTTGACAAGCATGCAACCCTAAAAAACGACGTTAAAATTAACCTCGGACCGCAAAAACAAGCTAAAAGTTGCAAAAAGACCGACCATCTGATAACGAAGGATCATCAGAAGACTGCAAAAGAGCCTCTGTGGTACTGAGAGCTAAATAGGGCTGATTCAACCGAAGAAAACATTTCACCAACGGAAGCTAAAAAATTTATCTGTTACCAAGAGCGTAAAAAAGCGCCATATTGAACGGGATCCTAGGGTAGAAAAAATTGAGAAAGGCACTTTTTGACCCTCCGAGAGCTGATAGAGTGGCAGCGAAGCTAAATAATCGCCATTTGCTTCAAATGCCAGGATGCATTCATCAATTGTAGCGACAGAATAGCGTTTGATAGTAGCAAACGCCCCTATAACCCCGTCAAGATCATCTAATGCTGAATAAACACGCTGAAAAGTCGCTCCATAAGCAGCATAAGTGAATCAAAAAACGTTTTTGCTAATAAATGTGTGAATTACTGCCAGAAGTAACGATTTATTTACAGTAAGGTACTACAACTTCCTACCTCCAAAGCAAAATATTGAGCTTTATCAAATATTTCAATCCCCTGTTCGTCGCGCCGTATCCCATACTGTTCACACCTTAAATAAGAAGTAGAAAAAAGACAACTTAATCATATAAAACGATCATATGAATCTTAAAACAAGAGAGCTAAAAAAAAAACAGATAAAGCTACCATTTTAAAGCTCTTGTTGTACAGTGACACCTTTCAGCAACTAAAACAGTCAGTAATGTGTTATCGGGAAGCCTGTCGCTTAGTATCCGACGCAGAAGCCCTTCACATCGTGTGAGAACCTTAGAAAAATTTTTTAAATTTGTCAATGGGATAATACTGTCACAAATAGCTATGCAGCAATCCTTTAACAAAAGGATCCTGGCTGACGACAATAAGTAGATGGCAACCTGGTCAGACGGAATTTGCTTCTGCCTTCGAAATATGACAAACCTTTCGAGATAATCCAGAATTGAAAATATAACATGAGCAGAAAGTCTTAACCAGCCATCACTGTTCAATGCCTTCCTCATGACTGCTTTCATTTCATCTTCGCACTAAGAGCAACATTAACAACTTAATTATCTTGCTAATAAAATTCCTGAATTACTACACAGTCACAAAATTTCAGGAGCGGGAAGAGGTTAATAAAAGGGAATGAACAGTAAAAGGAATAAGCTAAATGAGAAAGAAAAGTAGAAACAATTACTAAAAATATCTACCTTCCCAACGAGATCGGAATTGTCCTCAATCAAAGCTTCAAGTATAATATGAGGAAGCAAAAAGCGAGCAAAAACCATATCCGCTTTAACCAAACCATAGAGGGCTTCAAACAGTGCCTTTAAATGATGGTTCCTCGTCTGGAAAAACTCCTACATTACAAATATTTCAGAAATAATAATAAACAAGGAATTACTACACCTTTCTCGCCGCATACAAACACCATAAAGACATCCACGAAATATAGTCCTTTGCTTCCTTCGAATCAATTATAGTCCTACAAAAGCTAACGAGACTTTTACGACACTTGCTTTAAGAAACTTCTAGATACTAAAAATCACAACTGAATTTATAAACATTTCAGTTCAAAAGCTGATATTACTTATCAAAAGTAAGCTGCAGTGGCCGACCATGCTGAGTAAAATTCGTCTTCCGAAAAAGTGCTAGTTCTTTAACACAACTTTTGGACAGGGAATTCCATATGGTCTGCGCTTTATCTCCTTCCTCGCCAAATAATTCACGCAATGTCATTTGAATGCTGTAAGAACATTCTTCCTGTGTCGACGCGTCCAATATACCAGCAAAAGCTACTGCTGCGTTTTCTAAGAGCTCAACGAAAAACTGAAAGATTTTAGGTTGAAAAATGATAAGAAGTGCCAAGGAGGCTTTTATGACTAAAATATGAATTTTACACGAAAATCACAGAAAAAAAATGAAATCCTGCAACTGTACTTCAAACAGCCAATAAACATTTTAGAGATACCGGATCGCCAGCATTAACGAAAACCAACGTTTTTGAACGCCGGTCAACGTGAGACGTTTCAGTTACAGCAAGTCCAATGCGGCCAGGATCAATAGCGCCCAAGCAACCAAAGATCAAACAGGCTAGACGACGACACTCTATTGAGGTACACTTCTGTATGGTATGAAACAAAGCCGGAACCTATAAGGAAAACACGCTACTTGGCGTTTACCAGCAAAATGGCAAATCTAAACGAACAATACCAGGACTGCACCAAGGTCATCCACATTTCCAATGCTACCACTTTCAAAACCTGTTGACGTGCTGAGCACTTGAAGTATTTTATGCAACACCAATTCGCACACTTCTTCACTCTCCTCCTTCAACAGCAAAGCACACGCGTTAAGGACCTGCAATGTTTCACCAACTTCCTATCGTGAACACAGTTCCATCAATCTGCAGTTTCAAATTTTTTTCACTATCGGAGAAACTACTCTTCCCAACGAATTTCTGATTAACAAGAATTGAATCTTCTGAGAAAATACGAACTCTTGCAGGCCTCGTGTACTCATGCTGTGCGTGAAGGAACTCGTTAATAGAAATTTTCGGATTATCCCACATTACTATCGAAATTCTCTCAAAATTTTCGCTAGAAACAAAGTTCTTTTACGAAACAGCAAGTAAATAATAAAGAAGAAAATTCAATTCACTGTGCAGTTTTCAGTGTTCGAAGGTCGTTTATTTTTAGAACTCCTGACTTGGCAGATAGATGAAGCCCTTTGTTCTCAAAAATAAAACGGAGAAGGTCATGAGTCCCCTGATAACTTAACAGAGGAGTAATTGATACAAGAATTCTCGGAAGCAGTTCAACAAGCACCTTAACAGATTTTTGACGTAAGATTAAGTCGAAACTTCTTGCGAAAACTGACAAAAATTTCCTCGCTCATTTAGGCGAATAGTCAGAAAGAACAAAATTGCTTACTTCATCAGAAAGTGTTTGCACAAATGCTTCAAACGCTGGGATAGACATTTCACCGAGTTTTGAGGCTTCTCTCAGGACTGCTAACATTTTCTGAGCAGTCTGAAGAGTTTAGTAATAGTAACACGCACATTCTTTATAAAAAAGCATATACTAATTTTTCTGACAAAGAATAAAATCGCCAACGAGGCTGACATAAACCTACAGTATCCAGCAAATTTGTCCCATCTTCCTTAATTACTCTGATCATTCTACATAAGCTTGTGACCAAAACACTTCTTTTTGAGAAAAAGCGATCTTCCGTGAAAGAAGTACGAAAGCATAACAAAATCCCCAGATATCTAAAACCTTCCTCAGAAACATTGAGGTTGAAATAAAACAAGACTAAACTTTGCCGACTGCCGTATTCAAAAGCATATTTAATTCCCGAAAACTTACCTCTCTTCAATTAAAGCTGTTAAGGAGAAATTTAAATCACCTTCTCGTACCACACCATATATTGCTTTCAACTGTTGCATACAACGCTCTTCGGAAACGCTTAGATGTTGAAGGAGGCAAACAGTGCATTTATAAACGTTTCTTGACATCAAACCACGCTGAAGCGAAGACGCTTCTCATGAAAAGAACACCTCGGTGTTTCCAAAGACCATTGAAAAGATCAAGGTCCGGTAAATTGAGAAGATTAATCTTACCCAGGTGCAAGTCCCATTAGTGAATTCCTCAATAAAACGAAATGCTGATTTAAGAACTGGTAAATTTTTATCAAGAAGATGAACAAGCAGCGATGAGTACGACTCTGTCACAAGTGTTTCGGCGGTAATATCACGGAGTTCCATTATTTTCTGCAGAATCACAGTCAAATATACCGTTATAGCGCCACTCGTAGTAAGCAGTGACGAAACAAACTCACAGCAGGCATCTCGTAACAAACTAAAAAAAAAAGTAACAAAAACACTTCCTACAACAACAAACTATTATTTCACAAGTTAACCGTTAACCTTTTTACATTTACAGCACCACTCTGTCCCACGTAACCGAACAGCTGTGCCATTGACCTGAACGCATTACAAACTTTTTCACTCAATTTCGCAAGAACCCGCTCATCATTACCTAAATATTAAAAACCAGCAGAATTTAAAGGAAGAACCAAGAATATTACTCAATTTTAAAAAACCAACCATTGCCAGTTAGTGTACGACAAGTCAGCTGCTTAGCCAAATACTTACAAATCTGCTGGTGAAATCTTAAAAAAAGCTGCCTCGGAGTAATAGACGGAGTACACGAAGAAATTTTTCGCTGAAACACAGCAATGAAGTTTAAACAAAAAATGTAAAAGAATTTAGCATTTTAAAAAATAAGGCTGGAGTTTAAGAAAACATTCAAACTAATGTCACCTGAATTAAATTTTCACAGACCGGAACTACTTTTTCAGAAATATCGGAAGATATTGCCAGTAAAATCAAGCGAAGAAAGCACATTGACGACAAATACTCATCGACAGCGTACCTGAATTCAATAAAAAGAAATTAAGATGTGATTAAAAATTTAGTACCCAGTGTATCTGATTCCACAGCATAAAAAATGCCGATTCAACAACAAATGGCACTTACTCAGCACAAATTACAGTAGACTGCAATTGTATATCTTGAAATTCAGTATCCTCAAGTTCAGAAAGTTTTTCACCTATTCGAGTGAATAGAGAGCCCCACTTCATATGTACAATTTGTGTTAGACACCATCTGAAATTAAACTGAGCATATTATCCTTTTACTTAAAGTCTCCAAAAAATTCAGATCATTCTCCTCTAGTCTTTGAAGTCTTAAACATACTCATATTCAGTGCGAACATCTTCATCCAAATCCTTCATTAAAACCAATGATTTAGCGATATATTCCTCAACCGAATTCAAGTCTTGAAACCGCACATGTTTTAACAATGTTTGAAGGGCAGTACAACATGCTAAAATTCAAAAATTCAATTCATTCTCTAAGGCTCAATCAATAACTTTTGAAATGACACTTAAAATCAAATCAGTTGTCATCCATTACCTAAGCGCACCTCCTTCTCTTTGTGTAGAAAACCTTTCACCAGTAGGGTAAAAAAACTTTCGAAGTCCAAATCTAAAGTCTGTTGGAGATAAGCCTTTTGCGCACATACTGAACAAACTTCTCCACTTTTTAAAATTTTTTTAGTGTCCAAAACACAAACTGAATTCGCTACGGCCTAAAATGGAACGACTGATAAAACTTGTCATTAGCAGTAAAACGCGAACAGACGAACGAGTAACCTTGAAAACTGTTGCACAAAGACCCACATCTTCCTTAAAGGCCATAACTTCCTTACCAATAGAAAGAATCTTATCCAAAAGGTACTTGTAGGCATAACTATCTAAAACAGGTCTTTGAATAGCTGTAAAAATACTGTTAAATATTTACTCGGTATGTAAACAAACTTTTAACTTATTTAAAATTCATAGTATTCGAATATAATCCAATAAACGATACCGATAGAAGCAGCGAAGTAAGGAAAATTTTCTAAAGCAGAACTCTGCAAAGTAATAATAGACGAGTCCAAGGCATGTGTAAATAATATACGCCGCCACTCTGACGCAACCCTCATCTTTGACAACGCCGCTACAGCTGTCCTTTTAACTTCCAAACCTTTAACAGATGCATGGCCGCAATGTATACAAAAAAACGTCTGGCAAACAATTACACGCTGGACAATATGTTACTGTGAAAGAGATGAACAGCGTAGTAGTAACGAAATAGACCAAGAAAACATTAACAAGGATAAGACTTAAGTTACCACACGCGCGAGCGAACCCCTCTGTTCTTGCTAATTTCCTCATTTCAGGAAGTAATGGGATAGAACTTTTGTGGCGTGATATATCCACAGGCTCCTGAAACAAAAAATCCTAGTTAAATTGAAACCAAAAGCAGTTTCAGCTGAAACGTTAGTAAGAAACTTCTGAAACTAAATTAGAGTAAGGAGAAAATTACAACCACAAGCCACGGAAGCGAAAGAAAAGCAAGCCATGTGGCTTGTTCCTCTTCATAACAATCTACAGACGTCGAAATTAAAGTTATGATCGAAAGCATCACTTCTTCACCTTCAGAAGTCATATTTGGCACTGTACGTAAAATCTAAATTTCACGAAGACTTCTCATAATACAAAATGAGACCTAGTTGTGAATACTTTTAAATAATACTATAATGAAAAAAGTTATAAATTTACACCCTTAAAAATTTTTTAAAAAAAAGTTCATTTTAGTTAAGAAAATACTAAACCTTCATTAATTGCGAAGTTTGCGGTATTACGTATGGCAGCAGTTGTGTTCCGTTAAAAATATTTTTCAATGCCGAGATGATTGTATGTCTTACGCGTACTGACTTCAAAGTCTACATGTTCAAAATAAGACCAAGAAAATCACTAAATTGTAAAAAACCCAGATTAATTTATTTTCATACCGACAAAACCTGACTGCTTTCCTTAGCGGTGTTCGCGAGTTCTACTATCCTTGACTGGAGTTCGCTAAAAAAAACAAATCAAATAAATGAGGGTGTAACAATCTTCAAACTTTAACAAGTATTTGAAAAAAATCTTTGTCAACCTTTTCTTCATTTGACAATCCATGGCAATCATAAAAGAAAATATATCGCCTAGCTCATCATCAGGTACTGGAATGTCGTGCAGAAATATGCAGCGCACAATCCCGAAAATATTCGCTCCAATTTTTTTCAAAATACTCGCATCTTCCTTACTCACTGGATTTAAACGAGCGAGTACGAAACAAAAGTCAGAAAGCAGCCGAACAGCGCGAACTTCTAAGTGGTATACACAATATTTCATCGAAGGAATTACTGTTAGAAAACCAGAACGGACATATTAAATTTTCGTAATATAGAGACCACTTAGTATGAAAGAAAGTTCTATCTTCATTAATACCAATTTCTTACCAAGACTGCTCTGTTGCTCAAAATAGTGCACTATTTCAACCATCCATTCTAAGCAACGACGAACCGTTAATCCTCTGAACATTTTCAAAGTATGAAATCTGAAAAACCTCGCTGAAATGGAATACAGAAATTCAAGTAATTTTACATATGAAAAAATCACTTACTTTCTAAGATTGCGACCAAATGCCTCTTCGCAAGTTGTCAGTGACTCTTGCAGAAAGTGCAATAGACCTTTATCTTCTGCTCTCGAAATTTGTTTTTCAGTAAACAAGAACGCAAACAATAACAAATCCGCATATGCGCTGTTGCATAAGTCTAGACTAATCAACCTTTGAATTACCAAGAGAACTTTCTAAAAATGATCGAAGTTTTAAAATATTGAATACTGACGCATGAATTTTAAAAAGTCAAAAACTAACATTCTTAACATTGAAATCACAGATGAGCATCATCCTAATCAAAATTAACCAAGTTTTATGTAACAGTGGTCCAGTAAGCCAACTGAGATCAAAACACCCGTGGTGCATTAGTTCCCTGAAAATTATCAGAAATTTACAGTTTCACAAAAACTGAAAAAAAAAATTTTTTTTCTACTTACAGCAAACACAACTGTAAAGGAGCTCTCTTCGCGAAAGCATGAGGTAACTGTATTTTGACGGGGACGAGCACTATGTTTCCTAAAGAGCAGCTTATTTCACGGAAATCAAAATCACCCGAACCAGATATTTCAACAATTAGTTGCTCTTCATCGCTCAGAGTTCCTGTAATTGAATCTAAGAATTCGACTCCTGGCATAACAAGTTGCAAGTTTCAGGGCCTTATCAACCAGCGATTCTAAGTTTGTAGCAAAGCCAACAAAATTCACAACTAACAAAACTCACCAAACAGTAGAAAAATAATCTGTTTGAAAAAAAACATTCTGCTCGTTTCCGAAAGAAATTTTGAGAAGGTTAAAAGCTGCTGTCTGTACAACCCTCCGAGCCTAGTATACACTGCAGTACAAGATAAGACGGAAAGGAATCGGCCAATGGTCCAGATTATTATATCTAAATTATTCAAAATGCAAAGATAAATATGAATATTAAACGGTACTGTAGCCTGTGATGAAAAGCGATGTTTTAATATGACATATGCGACTAACGAGGCTTCCTCAGCATGAAAAACACGCTGTGCTGTACAAACCAAGGGTAAAAAAAGCATAAAAATAGATATACGGAGATGTACCTGATGAAAAACTAGAAGGGTAACGACTGAAATAGTTGCAAAATAATTGTGGGAGATCTTTCAGATGAGTAAGATCCTGGCCCTCCATGGCAATTTTACTAACTTCATCGCGATACTCATGGGCAATCACTTTACATAACATGTAAACCTTTTCGTCGGAGCTAAATCAACAGAATTCGATAGCAAACTACAATTGGGAAACTGGATCATTACAATAAAATGCATACACTTTTGAGTCCTTTGAATCCGTAGTATTCACTGCATTGTTAATGTCGCTTAACAAACTGTCAAACAGAGTATTGATGAAGTTATACGATTCCTCTTCTTCGTTTATCATTTTTGCCTCCTGAAAAAACTACTATAGCAAAACAAGGTGCTGCAACTCAGCTTAATTTCTTCCTACTAGAATTCAAGCTACTTTATGTAAACTACCCTCCACAAACGATCACGAATAAACTACACAAAATCTACGCTTACTAATGAGTGCTCCACCAATTCGTCAAACATGGTTCTGTTGTTCCTCAGAATAATTGTTTTTTTACTGGATCAGAAACTTCAACACGATTAACCGGACTTCCAAAACCCGCAAAAAATTACAGCTCATAATAACACATGTTATGGTCATATCGCCATTATGCATCAACGATCCCAGAGCCTAAAATAAGGAAGAACGCTGAAAATTTTGGCTAGTATTACCCTAGTAGTCCCTCCAAAACTACTGATATGCAAGCTTGCGGAAAAGCAGTGAAAACTTAACGGCTTTTCAAAAGTGACCAAATTTTCGCGCTTTACAAAAAATCGCTTTAGAAGCATTATTTTTTGTAGCAGCTAAATAAAATTAAAAATACGTTTTCCACCTTCCAGCCGGCTTTTGAACATTTTAAAAACATTTTTTTCTTATGACGGTCTATTATTTGCAGAGCTGAGACGGTGGGCAAAGAATTCGTTGCTGACTACTTCTGGCATTTTAGATGAAGGCCATAGGAGAATACAAGATTGGTTCTTAAGTTTCTGTCCCTGCATGGACTACTTATTTCTTGGTTATATTTTATGGAATAGTTGGCTTGAAATTAAGGACTTTCGAGTGATTCTGAAAATAAGTTACCCCTATGCGGTAAGGAGTTATAACGGTATTTTCGTATTACAGTAGAGTACAAAAAGATTTGAAGGAATTCCGTTATAACTTTTCACATCATTAATTGCTATTCAGAAGTTACTCAGAAGTTTAAATCTTTGGCCAGTTTTAGACAAGTTTTTTTTTTTTTTTCTAAAATTATTGGTACTACAATGGATAGTTTTGGTATATTTGGTTTAGTAAAAGAAAGAATGTTCAGAGCAGCATACTTGACATCCATGACTTTTCCTCACACCTCGAGTAACTGAAAAATTAAAAAAATCAGAAAACCGATAGTTTTGGAAGGTACCAGAAGTGGAGAGTCAGGAAATTGGACTGATAAAGTTACAATGGAAAAAAGAGGAAAGAGTTTTGAAAGAAAAGGACTTGGGAAAAATAAAGATTCAACTGAATTATGTCTGATCGCCAAAACAGTTATGCACTTAAGACGTGTGAAGTATAAGAGCTGCTGAAGGAAATAAAAGGAGAAGGTGGTGGTTAGGCGATTATCCGGAGTAATACGAATAAGACGGTATGAGGTACAGTGTTAAGAGATGAAAAATTTTTGCATATAACGGGCTTTAAAAAGTCAAAATGTCAAAATAAAAACAATTTTCCCAAGTAAAAGCGGCAGACAAAAGGTACAGTTTATCAGTCGGAATAGTACTGAAAGAAATATATTATTCATTGAAAGAAATAAGCAAATAAATTTTATGGTACTTTGGAACAAACTTAAATTACCCTCGAAATACTATACTGCAGAAACATTTAAATCCACTGAAGGGATTTTTTAAAATTAAGACCAAAGCTTTTGTTGGTATTAAAACTAGACTTATTGATAAGATATTTTGCAGTGGGTTCTGGTCGAACAATTGAAGACAAAGTTTTCTTCTGTTTGAAAAAGTGGGTTGGGCTGTTTGCAAATTGCCTTAGAATGAAGCTTAAATAAATCTGTTATCGAGTAGTGAATAGTTTTCAGCCAAGCTTTTCAAAAGCCTTCTGATGGAATGACTAAAGCGACTGATTTACTTTTTTTTTTTTCAAATTTAAAGAGCAAATGAAACTATATGAAAGTTACCAATAAGAAGTTCAAATTTTATTACTGTAGCCAACTATGCATAGTATACTTTTCAGATAGTGGTGTAAATTTTATAGGCTTTTTTCTGAGAAATAATAAAACTGTTTATTCGTTCTTGCACAATTCTTTTTCAGATATGTATGTATGTATGTTCAAAATGTATCCTAACAAAGAAACACGTCCATAAAATGAAGTTTTTTAAGCACATTTTTCTAATAGAAATAAAGCATTTTCATTAACATATCAATACTCTTTTTCATCCTTACAGCGGTGGCATAACGAATGTCAATAGGTGATGAAAATTAAAAAAAAAAAAAGGAAACATCGTCGACAGTTGAAGATTGTATTTGTTATTTCACACTTATACTGTTGTTTAAAATTCAAGTAAAATTTTATATATGCATATTTTTAGAATGTAAATCTGTTTCTTTGTTGAGTGTAATAAAAAATAAATTTTTAAAACATTTACAGTTATTTTTTAGGACGCTATTTACGAATGCTTCTTTTTAGACTCTACGATCTAAAAAAAGAAAAAAAAGAATAAATATTTTTGCGAATATTTAAACTGCATAAAACACTAAGTAAATTTATGAATAAATATTCAAATATATTAAGTACATTTATGGCCATTAAAGTTTGACAGTTCTGTTGCAGTTTGATGAGTTAAAAATTTCCAATGTATATCAGTGGGAATGCAACATTTTATAACAAATAACAGAACAGTCTAACAACAAATTGATGTCATCTTTATTTCCATTTCAATTTTTCTTCACTTTTGATTCCCATTTATTTGATAATATTGAATTTCGTCCGCCAAAACCATTTATTGGTAATAGGTCATCGTTTGACATTGAAGCTAAAGCAGAACTGGAGAAACCACCTAAAAGGAGAACAGTTTTATTCAGATTTTATCCTGTAATTTTTTACTACAATAAACAGCAAAAAATGTTAAGTTACTATCTTTCTATTCACATTCATCTGCTTTTTTTTACTGTATCAAGAGTTTGAAGAAAATTTACTTTTCTAACATAGATAAAAGCAATATTTCCTGGCAGTGGCTTTAATGTAATGTTTAAATATTAAACTTTTAAATTATCCTATTCAACGGTTTTATTAGTTTTAAAATTCTTTTCTGGTACCATCGTCAACAAAATCATCACCATTCAAAACTTTCACAATAACTTGCTCACGGCTTTTTCTGTTCAGAGCTACGACTGTAACAACTGTGTAAAGCTTAGTCAAAAATTCTATGTCTTTAAATTTAAAAAAAACCACTAAAAATTACCGCCGTTAAAACGTTTGTTTGCTGATGATGATTTGCTGAACATTCCGAAACCGCCATAAGTATTGCCATTATTAATCATGCGTGATGGGTTGCTGATACCGCCAAGACTTCCTATTCCATTCATTCCGCCCATGTGTCCAAGACCGGGATAATCAGCTAAACCTCCAAATGATCCCATACCCATTCCGTAGCCCATATAAGGATCATAAGCGTAAGCACTGCTAGGTCCATAGCCGGCGTAACCATATGGAAACCCAAATGCTGAAAAGCGAAACAGCAGATAAATTTTCCAATTCAGAAAAAGAAATCTTTAACTTTAATATAATTTGAACAAAAAATTACTAATTGACATTGAAACTAACAACTAAACGAATCCAAAAGACCATAACTTCCATAAATACCGTATGGGTAGGCGTACTGAGTACTGCATTCTTCAGAAATCACTGCTAAAATCACCACTGACAGTATCGTTCTATACATTCCTGTGAAAATTAACGTAAAATCACACTTTTTCCTCTTGAAATAAAAACCTCTAAAAACACATTAGTAGTTTTTAAATGATTTTTTGACTAGTAAATAAAATTTTGTCAAAGAAATCAAGTCAAATTAATCTACGAAAAAACCGTCTGAAATGCATAGCAAAGTTAGCGCATTCAACAGTTGATAATTTTAACTTTAGGCGATGCAAACAACGATTGAAAATTTTGAATTTAAAGATAGTATTAGTTCAAAATTTACCTGTATAACCCGCTATCACTTTTCCTAATAAAAAAATTTAAAAAAAAAAAATTGAAAACAAAGAAAAGTTGGAATAAGTGAACAAAAGTGATAAAAAATAATGTTTTGGTTTAAAAACAATAAAGATAAATAGCAGTGTTATCAGTCAGCTAGAAAATAAATAAATTCAACAATTTACATAACGAAGTTGAGAGATGAGCAAAAAGAACAAAAAAATTTTACTTTCAAATATTGAAAATATGAAAAAGTGCTCACATTCACTTGCCTTTTATATGGGTAAGATTAAAAAAAGAATATTTTTATCTGGCTTTTATTGACTTGTTCCTTCACTTCTTATTTGTTCCGTTAAATGTTGTCTTTATTGTTCAGCAGTCTGTTGTATTTTTCCAAGTTTACCAAACACCACAGTTAAGTGGAATTAAGACGTTCACGGCACTGATGGACAGCATACATAACTTCGGCAAACAATGGTGCAACAATAGCAGGTCGTGCTACTGTAAGTGTGTGCTCAACCATCAAAACTTTGTCCACATCGTGTCCATCTACGATAATACAAAAAAAAAAAAAAGACTTTCTTTGCTGTCTTTTTTTTTTTATTTCAAATTTTTGCTTATACCAAAAAAGAAAAAAAAAAAAGAAAGAAGAAGAAAAGATATTTGTATACATTTACACTCTCGACTATTTTGATAATTCCACGTATATATATATACTTCTTCCCATTTTTCAACTGCAGTTTTTTGCTACAGTTTTATTAAGCAAATTTTATCTGCCTACAATACGACAAAACAGAAAATAAAAAATGTTCTTTCATCATTACGTTACTACCAATGAATTCGAAAACTTAAAATCACTTCACCACAGATAGATGCAAAAAAAATAACATTTATTAGAAGAACTTCAAGAAAAAAAAAGAAAAAAACTCATAAATCTTACCACCAAAACCGTTGCTAAACAAACAGTCAAAACTTTTTAAACTTACTGCTAGCAATAAAGTGAATTCAAATAATCAATTTTCATTTTTTAATTTAAAATCAAGAAGAATATTCTAAGCATCAATAATTTTCGAAATAAAAAATTAAAAATGTTGATATGCATAATTGAAAATTGCTGTTTGTTTGCAACAAACAACAAAATGAGAAGCAATTTTTATTTCAACCACGGAAGTCTATGACAGTAGTGGAAATGATCAACAAATAACATACAACAAGCTACAACACAAAACTGTACTGCTGTTGTGCCCGTGTTAATTATCCTAAAGCCGCTTTTAATCAATGGTTACTCCAATCTAAGTAATAATAGGTATATACTTAGAAAATTTAACCTCAAAAAACACTGTACTAATAAACTAATCTCAACTGCTGCAGTAATAAAGGAACTATCGGGCATTACAAATGGCTGCGCTGCGAAAATGTTTAAAAAGCCCATGTTCTAACCAACCATACGTTCATGAAAACCAAAGAGAATTGTCTCAATTCTTAAGCGAATAACATACTAGCGTAAATGCTTTTTGGTGACCATTGTTTTAAAACCTGGATTTTTTCAGGAGCACGACAACAAGTTATTTGAGTTTTTCAATTCTGCCTCATACGCTTCCAACTGTCGAATAAAGCCAAAATTTGGGCTTACTGAAAAATTAACCGTTAAGCAACTGTACTTTTTCAAATAAACCTCATTGTTATTAAATTGACAACATTTCCAAGTCTAAATGAAAAAAATGAATATTTCAGCATAATGAAGAGTTAGACAAAGTCATTTTATTCCAAGAGTTTGGCATATATTTGGCTGAACAGTTACTGCAGTGATAAATCGACTCAGTGCAAGAGTTGAAAGAACCTTTTCGTACTGCTTCTACTTGATTTAAAGCTTCCTTGAACGTTTTGTTCTCCGACTTCATGATATAGGAAATAACAACTGTTGCAGAACGTGAAATCCCTTGATTACAATGTACCAATACCTAGATTTGAATAACGATGAAAGCAACTAACTGTTAAAAGATCGGTTATGCGACATGAACTTTTCAAGTACACCGTAAATCCATTGATGAAAAAAAATTAGCCGCCTGCGTGTTAGTTTATGCTGAATTTCGCAACGTTGATGTTTTGTTTCTTTCCCCTACAGTAAAAATTTTGTGTTCCATGTGCTTTAGTAAACAAACGGACAAAACGAGAGAAAAAAAAGTACAGGTAAAACAGTGGAACTCTTCTTTCAGCAGTTGTCAACATTTTTCAGTATAAATTATGGAATGATGGATTTTGTTGCAAAAGTACTTACTTAAAACAAATCCTCTGCCTTTTCTTAATTCTTACTAGGTCCACCAGTATCTTCCCCCCTTTCCGGTCAAACGAGAACAATTCACGCCAGAATAAAATTCTTTTCAGAGGTTAAACAACTCTTATATATACTTTATATGTCAAATTAACGTAACCACAAACAGATAGTTGAGAAGTAAAAAGATTTTAAGATTTTTCAAAACCATTTAAGGAAAAAGCTAATTCAAACTTACATTTCCACCGCTATTGATACAATCACTTATGAAACGGAAAGCTTGATCGAAGTACTTTTTTATGTTCACTTGCTGCGTATCTATAATTTTGATGTTCAAATATGTTATTTTATCCTCGAATAAATTACCGACGTTTTGAGTGCAGTTAATTATATGAGTAATGTTGTGAAAGCTCAAAAGGTCAAAATCCTTCGCCACATCTTCACTTCCTGAAACACTACAACAGCAGTTCAAAAAACATCTTCGTCAGTTTACAAGATAATGCGGAAAGTCATATTTGCAAGTAACCGTTAAGCTCATCTCCCTTCAAAAGTGTAATTTTTCAGAGTGAAATGGCTGCACACAACAAAAGATGCGTTTTAAGAAAAAATAAAGATACATTTTTTAAACTACTCAGTAACATGCACTTTTTTAAACATTATTTTTTTACAACAGCATAACTCTCAGAACCAAAAAAAAATTAATCCAGAACACACTAACAAGACAATCCATAACGTTCAGCTCAATAACTCCTTACTCAGAAATTAAAAAATTGCCGTCAAGCCCAGTTCTTAAACTTCTACATGGTTAGACACCTCTAAAATGAAAAAAACTCATGACTAAGATGTGCGAAATAGTTATCAGTAGCCAGTTTTTAAAATATATTTGTAGTGTATCTTCTGATTTCCCTCTTCGAGTAGATTTGTAAGCTGTATTTGAACAGTAAAACGGAAGAATATTGAAGAGCCACAATTTTTGGAGTCCTGTCAGCGTAACGATCCATAAAAGACATTTTCCCTTTTCAGTAAACTAGTGGATGATTATAATTTGTACACAGTGTACAAAACTTACCCAAATAGACATTTTTGGCAACATTTGCCATCTGTAGATCAGTTGCCACTGCACCAAGTCCAGTTACCGCTTGTTCTCTACAACGTACACCTTATCTAGCTTTATTTGTGTTTTTAAAACAAAATTGATTACTTACTTGGTTTCTACATGTCGCAATTTGTTGCGTGCTGCAAGTATCCCCTCAAGGAGAACCATATCGGACAGCAGAACTAATTACGAACTGACCTTTCATAAAATCTTAATAGACACACCTAAGAAAAAGAAATAACTCACAAAATGTTTTTTTCATCTCAAGTTGACTAATACTGAAGCCCAATTTCCATTGGCAAAGTTCCACACCGGTATCCACAGCAACAAACCCACAAACCAACGAAACACAATTCCTGGCCATACAATTTTTAAAAGTAAGCATGTCCGGCAGCATATGTTCTGAAGTGATCAGCTTTCAGCTTCCTACACATTACTAGATTCAAATCTGGAAGGAGCCAACAATATGCTGATAGCGTGCAAATGAGTTGAAATGAAATAGGTCCAGAATATCTGAATTCCAGACGTGCAAAATACGCATTCAAATCGGATAATGACTTCGCTTTATTGCTGCGCTTCAGTTCCTTCAGGCAAGTAATACTACTAGAGAGTTTGCGTCTAAAAACCTGAGAAAAAGAATTGGTTGAACTTCATTATCACAAAATCCAAAAAACTCAAACACTTTCATAATCTTTTAGTGTTATCGTATTTAAAGTAATCTAACTAAAAAACAAAACTGTAAGATTTAAGAAAACATTTTGAACCACTACGTCTTTTAGCGTGATTCGGATAGAGAGACATTACAACTCTATCAAAATACATTCACAGCAGCGCACTAATAATCGCGAAAAATTCTACGAAAAACGCACAATACTGAGTTAATCTTAAACCAAAAAGTTTTCACATTACCAATGAAAACAAATGCATTCAAACAGTTAAATTCTAAACCTGAGTACAGATCTAATGGTGGCTGCCAATACAGAAGCTGTGCGCCAAATCAATATTATTAGACTTCATAAAAACACAGGTCACCTTGTCATTTTTTAAACTGCGTAATAGCAAAGAACCTAAAAACGAAAGATGTGAATGAACTTATCCTCACAGTCGAGAAAATATTGCACTTCATCTTCCACGAACTAACTACACATTAAGCGGGATAAAAATGGAAAAATAAAAACCATCAACTCACATAATATGATCACTACAAAAAAATTTCAGCGCAAAGAAATAGTCATAAAGTTTGAAAGAATTTAAGAAGACTAATAACACCACACCGGGTCAGATACAACCAACTCATCACAACAAAACCTCAGTCAGTGGTAGAAGAGCAGCTCCGTAGTTCGTATTCATAAGCAAACAACTGCTGTAAAAAACCAGGATTCGGCGAAACTGAAAATATTTTTCACGTCGTATAAAACATGGGAGGAAAAAAATAAGTGAAAAAAGAACAAGATAGATTTTAAGATTACGCATACGATGCTACATTTTCAAAAATATTTTTAGAAGACTTAGCAATACTGTAAGATTTCAGAAAAACTACCTACTCGCACCAGTACACCACCAATTCATGATAAATAATAATCAAAGTAAGAAAACTCAGCAGTTTACACCTTGTCTTATCGCTTGCACTTGAGCAAGAGCTTCCTGTAAAGTTTTCCTTTCATAACGCATAATGTAGGAAAGAACTATCGTCGGAGAGCGAGACAGTCCAGCGTTACAGTGCACAAATACCTAAAATTTCCTGCATAACTAAAAGAAGTTAGACTAGTTACTTAACGAAATAGTCAAATCCGCAAGAACACCGAAGGCAACTATGGAATTTCCGCACTTATTACAGGAACTTGCACAAGTCTCTAACAGGAACGTGTGCTTCAAAAGATAAAAAATAAAGCGCTCACATTACCACCTGCCTCAACGCATTTCCTCATAAAGTTGTGTGCTTCATCGAAGTACGAGCGTAAATTTACATTAGGTAAATCATTTACTTCTATTTTCAAGTATTTGAAATGACCTTCATAAATGTTCCGAACTCCAGTTGCACAGTTTATAATATGAGAAATATTATGCTCTTTTAAAATCTTTAAAGAATGAGCTACGTCCTGGCTACCTTAAATAAAGGTATCAAAATTACAAGTTAAAGCAATAAATTTGATAATATAAATCTCGAACAATTAATTTCTTTTTACTTCATTTATGTGCCATATCATGAAAGCTGCAAAAAACTGTTACCGAACCCCTTCCACAAAAGCTGCATCAAAGGTGATGCAGCAAAATCCAATATAGTAGAATAAATTTTTGATGATAAAAGAGGGCCCAACCCAAATAGACGCCTTTAGTAACGTTCGCCACTTGAAAATCTGGATTATCATCAACTATAAATCCAAAGCGTCGTAACCTTTCACGTTTCTTTTTCTGTCTCTGCGAAACGCCGCAACTAGTACCAGTAACATCTACTGAGGAACCTTGTGCAACTTCTGAGTTCAATTCGTCCCTCTCCTCTTCCTCTTCATCATCACAAGTCATTTTGAAAGATCCGTCAGATGCTCTTTCAGCTACCATGACAGAACCATCTTCTAAAGTTATTCTAAATAAACCAAAAATTAGAAACGAATGCTAAATGAACAGAGCACTTTACAAAAACAAAAGCTGATACAGCTTTTTTTCAAAAGTAATACAATAATACTACACACTATCAAGTCCCTACAGTTCAAAACTCCAAACACTGCTATCTCTGTGTGAAGAAGGAAAACAAAATAAAAATAGAAAAGAAATAGTGTTCGAGGCCAGAATCCCACAACTGTATTGTTTATTAGAGATTTCCGACCATTCTACACTGCAAAACCAAGAAACTTAGTAAAACCGTGCTTTTAATACTAAAGCCACCTTTAAGCTTCCTCTGTTTGATATGCATACCTCAAATAATGCCTGAGAACTTTATGAATTCAGCACAAAAACAACGTGTAAAAAAACTGGAAAATTCAAAAACCAATTCAAATCCGTCCAGTGATTCTACAGTTTAGTGCGCAACTTAATTTTAAGTCATAACTAACAGTGTTGTTGAAAGGATGATGATGAATACTCAAACGGAGGTTGAAACTAACATTGTCTTTACGTGGTTAAGTTTGCCTTTAGCACGGCAAATACCGTCCAACAACGGATTCATCGAACAGCAACACTTTACCCGGTAAACTTGTGGTTTAGCGAAGGCTCACCGTCAGTTACTTTTTATTTTGAAAAGTATGAATTTCGGAGAATTGCCAAATATTCATTCTGTTCTTTTCAAGACCTCGCTTAAACTCAGACTTGACAAAAATTAAGTTGAGAAGCCTTTAAATCCGTTTTTTCAAAGCGAAAGCCACTCCAAAAATTGATTTCTGTTTTATTGTTTATTTATTTTTTTGTCAGGTGTTATTTTGTCAACGTTATCTTGTGTTAGCAACTGTACTTTGTGGATCCATTAATATTTGTAGATTTTAATAAGCTTTTTTAACAGAAAATTATACAAAAAAGTTTCGAGAAGAAATTTCACAAAAAATTATTTTTACTGAACAAAAGAAAAATTAGTAACTGTATACATGAGTTGGACAAGAACTATCGTGAAGTACTGGAGAATTTTTTTGACTCAATGTTTAGTAGAAAATTTATGTAAGAAAATTATAATTCTGTTTTACAAAGATGCGCAAATTACGACGGTCAGGAACTCAGGAACAGACGGTTCTGTACGGCTATAGAGACTAAAATTAAGGAGACTAGAAGTTCGGAAGAATCATGTGCTTAGAGAAGAATAGGATGATTCAGAAAAAATGCGCTCAAATGGTGTTTAGACTGGAAAGTATAACTTACCGGGTCGGTGTTACGTTATATAATAATTCAACGCGGTCTGCCCAGAGGAATATTTTCCTGCGGTTTAGTTATAATTAAGTGGAAATCAAGGACAAAATTTTACTCTAATTTAGAAAGAAGGAAGTGATAAAAATCGAAAAAGAATAGGAAGAAATTTTTCACCTTAAAAGTTATAAGAAACAACGCCATTACATGTTATAACGACAATTGAAATCAACAAGCAGGACAACGCTTTTTCCAAAAAGATAAAATATTAACTGTAATTAATCTCCACAAAAAAAGACCTTATATCCTTAAAAACCTCTCTATTACAATGTGTTTAAACTAATTTTGGAGACATTTCTCTCATTTAAACTCTCTTCTTTTTTTAAAGCTAGATGCTCGGGATAATTATGAAATTTGAATCTGGGATATGTCCCACCAGCGATAGATAGTATCACCTAAGAAAGGGTCTGTTCAACAAGTTATTGACTTACTGTATTCAGTTGAACTTGCTTCGAACCAAATTATAGTAAGGAATTCATAATTATTAAAGCGCATTTGTTAGTGACCATGTGTCACTGCATGTGCATAGGTTGCGCAAGTCCCATTATTGTTGGACAAACACCTGTTTCTACAGCATGGTTTTTTCACCTTAAAATTCTTCTCACGGCACTCAACTGGCCTAAGTCGATTGTCAAAAGTAGCATTTCATTTTACTTCTTTAGTTGTTACCCGCTTTTGTCAATACGGTTATATTCTTTTGCATATTCTTTCGTCGTTATGAAATGAAACCGGCTGCCGTCAGCAGTAAAATGTCAGAATTTATCTCGACAAATGGTTTCAAATTACAGTATAGGCAAAGGAAGACCGATAAAGAGTATCTTAAAAAAATGATGAGCATAAGAAAAACTGAAGTTACAATAAGATCATTGAGCCTGTGATTAAAATGTTTTGGTAAAGAACGTGACATAACATTGCGGAATGGTGCCTTGTACATTGTTGTGGTCTTTTCAAAAATAAATGTTCTGGGCTTCTCGAGTATGGTTGACAGGGACGTCAAAGAAGTACTAGTAGATACCATGACAAGGCAATTTCTAATCTGTTTGGAAGCTGGGAACTATTTTTTCATTTGTTTGCTGAGTTCTGGATTAAATCTTCTTTGTATTTTCAATAGTTGAGTAACCGATACGAATCTTATCCGTCGACTTCACGTTTCCTCCCTCGACCGTTTGAAATTTGTAATTTAAGATAGTTGGAAGGTAAACGAGTTTTAGTGATCGTGCGCTAAGAATTCGAGATATTATTGCTACTGGTGGTCGATTGAAAAGTGAAGAAATGAAAAACTACAAAAAAATTTATTTGCTTATTATATACGTTTTGTCTCAAGTACAAGACAGAGTGGAGATAATTGCAATTTTTTGGTTGGCTAATTCAGAATAGCTTGTCTACAGCTGATAAATGCTTATTTATTTCCGAATTATTTATTACTTTGGTTTGAGAATTAGAGGAAAAAGAAGAAAACTAACTAAGCTACTTTGATTAAAAGTGGAGCTCAAATTTCGGCAACAGCCAAGCGGAAATTGAGGATCACCTTTGCAATTGTAGCGCAGCACTTACGAATAGAGGTAGTAAAGAAGTAAATTGAACATTCGTTGCCAATGCTACTTTCGTGCTGGTTCGTGGTGGTGTTTGGCATTCATGGTTTAGCGCTATTCATTATTTTTTTGGAAAGCAAGATTTTTTGTTTTTTTTTTTTTTTTATAAGGATTTGCATTACCAAATTTGCAACATAGATTTCGGTGATACTGTACAAGTTTGGCAAATACAAACCGTTTGTATAAAATCGATGATTTTAGAAACTGAAGAAGAATTACGGTACGCAAAAAAGGAAAAAGTTTTTAAATTTTTGGGACGGTTTTTACAAGACAACTAATTTGCGAATAATTTACAAACAAAATAAAGGTTTTCGTTCGTTGATGCCAGCTTTTGAGCGACCTATAACTGCATTATTGCGGCGTAAAGAGCAGAAAAAAAGCAGAGGTTTAGATGCAATTTTGAACAGAATAATTATCTTTCAAGTATTGTAGATTCACTACTGAATAAAGTTTGTTAAGAGAAGTATCCCAAAATTTCAGATTCTTTTGTTAGGAAAGTACTAGGAGAAAAATAAAAGTTGAATCGGAAATTCCACCTAATGGAGAACAGTGGCAAAGATTAGCTGTTGCACCTCATTATTATTATTAAAACAGTTCCTTTTGTGAAATGACTACAAGTTAATGTATAGTTTAAAACTGGGTTCTAAGGAAGCAAAAGAGAAGAAAATATAGGAGTCTAAAATCACGATAGATAAATAAGAATGATTTGAAGAATTTCGTTTACATAAACACTAGAGTGAACCTATGATTGAAAAAAAAACTCAAGTTTTAAAGTTTAGTACGCTAAATTTTAGTAGCGTCTCAAAGAGTTTGAAAAAATCTCTGAAACTTTTCAAGAGATTCACTATGTAAATTCAAAAAACGGGTTAGCTGGAGGAAGGTATCAACGTTTTTTACTTTCAACAGTGCTTTGAACACATGGTTGGGTTTTGGAAAAAATTTAAACGGAGGGCGAAAGCTAATAATGTGTATGATGCTCCACCAAAATTTGGATGCTATTGTAAGGCTGTATAAGAAGCGATTCTTTAGCGAAGATGTAATAATTTGATGCGATATAACAGATTTGGTAGTAATTTTTTGTATAAGTAAAATACCTGCAAAAGTACGATAAAAATATTTCTAAGACTAATGTATAATTTAGAATCATTTTTTATTTATTCTTTTTTTTTCTGTGGTTTTAACGTAATTGAACAACAGAAACGTTTAGTGAAATTAAACGCGGCAAGTATTCAATAAATTAAAAGTAGTTCAAAAAACTGTTACCAGTGGCTGTTGCTTTAGCACTGATAAGACATTTGAGCAGTGTAGACGTTCTGAAGCCATAACATCAGTTCAGAATTTTTTTTTTT